GCGCGGGAGAAGAGAGACAGAGAGAGAGACAGAGAGAGAAAGAGGGAGCGCGGCAAGAGGAGGAGGAGGAGGAGAGGAGGAGGAGGAGGAGGAGGAGGGGAAGAAACGCGACGCAGGACGGCAGATGCCTGGAAATAAAAATTTGATGATTGCATGCAGCGGCTGGAGAGACTCTGTCGGTGGCGGCGGCGGGGACGCAGCAGGGACCGGGGGGGCGACGGCAAAATGAAGTATCAGAAATACCTGACTGTGTTGCAGATGGCCATCGGGGTGACCGCCTCCAACCGAGGCAGCCTCATGCCCTTAAAGAGGAAGCTCTGGTGAGTAGCAGGCGCTGCCGCCGCCGCCGCCGCTGCTTTGCGGGTTGCTGCTGCTGCTGCTGCTGTTGCCGTTCTGGGGCATTGCGCCTGGTGCGTGTGTCTGGATGCTTGCCTTGCCTGCCCGCCCGCCTGCCTGACCTCTCTTGCGTTTTGGTGACGGAGACCCCCCCTCCCCCCGTTGCCACCCAGGGCCAAGGAATCTCTCGACCTGCTTCTGCCTTGCCCGGCAACGAGGCTCAGGCGTGCTGCATTCACTTAAAAAAAAAAAACCCAAACAAACAAATAACAAAAACCCATCACCATCCTCGTCAGCATTCCAAATAATAATCCAATTTCTTTGCAATAGGATCCTCTTTTTAATCCTGGTTACTGGAAAGGCAGCAGCACGTCATGGGGGAACGGAATGGTTTGCAGCAAAACGGTTTGGGGTTTTTATTCATTCATTCATTTATTTATTTGGGGGTGCCTTAAGCCTTGATGCTCTTTGGTGTCTTTGTTTCTTCCTTGCCCAGTTGGTGGGACACTGGAGGGGGAAAAGAATAGAAACGCTTTTATTGTTATAACCACCAACTGGAAGCTTCTTCTGAGTTTAAAAGTCGATTCTGGGATCTATATACAGTACTGTATCTATGTCTTTTTAACCGAAATGATGATGCACGTCTGAGTTGGGGGTCATGGGTGCTTTCTCTGGGACAATCAAAGCGAGAATGCTAATGAAGGCCCTTGCATAGATGTTAGAATAGGGATCATGTTCTTTGACCTGTTTGGGAGTTGCATTTTCTTCTGCTTTTTATAAAATGCATTATTGAAGTGTGCTGCAATGGCAGATAAATGACTTTCAGGTTGGTTGGCAGGTGGAGATTTTAAAACTGATCTTTTTTTAAAAAAAATTCTGAGCACTCAACCTATCAGATTTACACAGATGCCTTTCACTGTTCCTTTAATGGCCTTTGCTCAGTTTACTAGAGCAGCAAGCTCCATTGTGTATGTGTATGGGGGTGGTCATGCTGTCACACAGTAATTATGTAGTATTATGTAGTATAAATTATGTAGGGCAGAAAGATACTTATACACTGGTTTGTAACATATTGGCATTGCAGTTTGACTCAAAGCAATAGGGAAGGAAGGGTGTTTAGAAAGGAGGAATCATCAGAAGTGAAAGGTAAATCCAACCAGAAATATTGGGGTGGGTGGAAGAAGTAATCACATTGCAGGAGATGATTCTCTTGGCTATTTGGTGGCAACATATTACACAAAATACTGTATTGTAAACAAATGAAAGGTTAATTTATATATAATTTAAATAGTAGTCCGGAACACCAGATATGAAGAACAGTGCTTTGATGCAATTCTACATCTTTTGTACATTTGATTTTTCTTGCATGTGCACATGTAATTTGGGCACATGAGAAATGGCTCTTCTTTCTCTTTCTCCCAGTCTGTCTCTTTAAAAAGTCAGTAGAGAAGAGACATCCATCCTGCGGCCTAAACTGCACATTAGAAAGTTGAACTAAATATATATTTTTATGAATTCAAGAACCACATCTGAGCAGTGGTTTGCTGTGGCTGTGACCTGAGGTCTCAGAGACAGACTGCAAAATGTCAGGGGGCAAAAGTGCTCGTAATACAGAACATAGCTTGATCATCTTAGAACCACTAGCAAAGAGTTTCTTCCTATTTCTGGCACTTGGCATGCTTGATTCTCTCCCCTTCCCCCACCATATATAGATCGGCAAAACACCCAACATGAGAAAGAGGATTTAAATATTATATGTCAGTTTTGCTCATTTGAAGTTAGTTTTTTATTTTAAAAAGTTGTTTCTTTGTTTACACTAGTGTGAAAGGGAAGATAATGCTCTGAGAAAAGAGCACCTCACCTCAAGATATTGAGGTGGGTGCCCCCCATACTCTGACCATGAGTTGCCTATTCTTACTACTCCAAACATTTTATCTGAATGTGACATAAGTGGCTAAACTAAGTATACTTTTAACAATATTGGCTCTGTCTCTTTCAATAGTGCATGCAGTTCAGTGAGGTATTTATGCAGATGTGAACAACAAAGTTTAATTCTTAGGAACAAAACTGGCCATTACATATCTTCTTTGTTTGCCTCCTTTGTGCACTCTCTTCAAAATGCTCTCTCACATCATTGTATGACTTTGTGTATCAGTGCCTCTTTCCCTGCATATTGAAAAATACATTAATTGCAACACCTGTCAGATACTCTTGCATAATGTGTTATGCCTAAATTCATCAGTGGTTATTATGAATGATAAGAGCATCTATGGACAAAGCAGGGTTGATAGAGAGGCATGCTAAGCTTCTATAGAGTTACAAGGACTATCATCATTGAATTTAATTGGACCATCTTTTGATTTCATATATAAAGTACTGAGTGTTTAAGGCTGTATTGTTCATTAAGATTGGCTTGTGGTTCTGTATATAATACTGTTTTCTAAAATTGCCCTTAACCTGAAAAACACTCAAGCACACGTGGTAAGATTTTTAAAAGAAGCTTATTTCAGTTATGGCATTTTGAAAAATAGTAAGAGTGTATCAGAACCCATCCTTAGCTTTTAAAAGGGTGTAATAATGCTTTCTACTTGCCCAATGTACAAATATGTTGTCTGATATGTTAGTATATACTGTCAGTGCAAGCAAAATAGATCATGTAATTAAAAAAAAGGTTTAAAATGCTTATCTTTTGTTGTGGGGGATAATCCACCTGAATCTCACTGAGTGAAAAATGAAAAGGTAGTAGCAACTGTTTGGTTCCTTTATGGAACATCTGCCACTCTAATTTCTTCGGTAAGAAAAAGGTCTTGTCCTATGAAATACTAAAAGCACAGCTTCATTACTATATGGTTTGTTTCTGTCCTGTGTTTCATCTTCACACAATATTGGGGAATCTAATTTCTAGGTGGCTAATTCAATTTCTAGAGCTGCAAGTGTCAAAAGAGTGATTGTACAGAAGCAATTTTGAGTCATTACGAAAATGAATGGGGTAGTCCCAAGACTGATTCCTGAGGACAGTCATCGACATTATCAAATCACTCTCCCACCTGGCCCCAGTTTAGCAGAAGGGCCAATGAGTGACTCTTTTCTACCTTCCTTAAGCCTTTCAGCCCACAATAGCTATCCTGCCAATTTGAATGGAAGAGGTATTGTATCAAGCTTCACCCTTAGAATTGCCCAGTCTCCCACTTGCATTATCTGTTAGAAGTCCCCAATCCTTGTATGTATATTTGTGTGTTGTGTGCCTTTCTGACTTAAGGCAACCCTTTCCAGGTTTTTCAAGAATAGAGAATACCTGTACTCAGAAGTGGTTTACTATTCCCTAGCTTGCCCATAACTACACAGACTGGCTCTTACTGTAGGAGATGCAGTGGGGAATTGAACTCCCAACCTTTAACCTACTGAGCTACACAGAAACCAGAGATAGTACCATTAGTGCAGATAATTTAATATTTGTTTTCAGCAACATCATGGGGAGGGGGTTGTGGCTTATTGGTAGGGCAGAAATTCACAGATTTAATTCTCATGATCTCTGCATGTCAAATGTAAAAGAACCACTGCAAATCTGAGAAAGCAGTAAAGAACTAGATAATAAACATGAAGGATGAGTGTATAGAGAGCTAAATGGGGAAAATGCTTTAGCGTCAGGGATGGGGCAAATTATGGGGCATTTCCAGAATCCCACCACTAGTTTGCTGGTGGCCATGCTATCTGTGAAATTCAGGGATTTATAGTCCAGAAAAGTAAATTCTTCCATCGCTATCTGTTTTGCAATGTTTTACAAATAACTCCTTGTGTTCTTGAATGAATGTTTGTAAAAAGTCCTGCAGTTGAACTTACTACATATAGATGTTTGGATGTGTATGACCGCTGGTAGTAAGTTGGATGGAGCTTTCTGTGTGTTCCCACCACTAATGGAGGTGTTGCTGATGGCAACAAGGAATATGTCTCCCCTATGGTAGTGGCCAGTCTATAGAGTCTCCTGAACTGCGACGCTTCTTTTACCACACCATTGATGGTGTTGGGTCATCACTAAAGGCTGTTTGTCTGTTGTTTTGCCTTAAAATAGCATTTGGTTTTCTTTCTGTTTCAGGTCTAAATCCCTCCATAGCATTTTGTTTTATTTCTCTGTTGGAAGCTGCTAGGATCACTTCTTATTGAGAGGTGTGAAACTTCTGTCAATAAACAGAATAAATATGCATAGATGACATGAATTAGGTTGCTCCAGTGTGTAAGCTACAGAACCATCCTGTGCAAGAGAATGTAAACCAGTTCGTCACATAACAGTATTCATTTTATACAAATCTGAATTTTAAAAAAGATCTATGATATACTAGTATTTAACAGTCATAATTGCTTTAAATTATTTCAGTAAACAATAAAATTGTGTAGTTCCCAACCCAATGCATGTATATAGAGCTCAGAGCAGGGCTTT